CTTGGATGTGCGGGAGGTGTAATGGATAATGGCTCGGAATTATTAATCGGAGAGCCGAGTTCCAATTCCCATTGGATCCGTTATATTGACTTAGGCGCAAATGTGTTTGGGAAAGGCATGAATCGACCTCTTTTCCCCAGCTATGGGTTAATTAATAAGACTTATATCACTAAATAGTTACTATCTCAAAAAAAAAGATCTTACAATTTAAAAATATTTTCTGGCTTTAAATAACCTGCAAAGTGTCGGTAAGCAGTAGAAAATTAATATATATATATATATATATATATATATATATATATATATATATATATATAGGAAAAAGTTCACGGATAGACCTACTTCCTAATATCTGGCCCAATAATCAAATTTCTGATTTCAGTGGGGAATCTACTTTTATAAATTTTCAGCGCCTCCCCTGGTATATATTTATGTTAAAGACTATTTATATTCCTTCTTTTTTTTTTTTTATTTGTCCATTCTTTCTATGCTGCCCAGTCCAAATCTTTTTACTTCCTGTTTCTGACCCTCAGTCGATTTTTGATTCTCTTTCTATCTCTTTTCTGTCTAACAGCACCACCCCCGCGCCATTTCCCACTCTTGAAGCTCTGAATGAATTCACCAGAAGAAACGCCTTTTCACCTCCTCAGGATCTCCCGCGGTTACAAGCGGCCGATTCCAAAGGCAACACTCAGATACCTGCAGGGAGAAAGAGCACACCTTATCAAAAATTTCATATCTACTAACCATTATTCATCTGTTGCGAGTCACTTTACAATTCATGCCGATAATTTCATGCATTAAGTGGTTGTTTCTGAGTAGAAAATAACAAACAAATAAAATGGATAAAAATTAAAAGATAAAATGCGTGTTCGATAGCTATATCTTAAATGACCACGCTGGTGGTGGGTTCAAATCTTGGTCAACCGATAAACATGATGAAACACTTGATCTATTTGAAATAAGTAGGCCATTTCATTTTATATGACATCTTGATTGGAAAAATATTTCTCAATATATATATATATATATATATATATATATATATATATATATATATATGATTAAATATGTACCAAGTAGGAAATCATTATAAATTTGGCAATCGACTTCCGACTTGTTCGTTATTTAATCATTCTGTCGCATTTAATCCACATTTTCAAAGAGTGTGTATATATATATATATATATATATATATATATATATATATATATATAGATAGAGAGAGAGAGAGAGAGAGAGAGAGAGAGAGAGATAATATTAGTGGTAAATATACACATACATATGCAAAATATATACGTATATATACATAGGTGCATACACATACATGTATATTTTTTGAATAAAAAATTTCCAAAAGGATAGAATCCAGGTAGAACTCAATGTCCAGGACAGAGTAAGGATATAATAAAAAGGCTTAAACACTAATATTCCATGGTCATAATTTATTCCATTGGAATCGTAAATACGATCCAATTCATCATACCTATAAATTCAAAAAGAAAACAGAAAAAAACAACTCCGGAAATAAAAATAGAATTTATATATATATATATATGTATGTATGTATGTATGTATGTATGTATGTATACAGGATGTTCATAAAGTTCGTGTGCACTTTAAAAAAATTATAACTTTATTTGTATTTGCGATGGAAATACTCTGTAAAGAATGTTATAAAGTTTAATGTACCTAGTTTTAAGTATAGCTAAAATAACTAATGTGATTTCAGGCATTACTGTAAATCAGTTGGCAAATGTTTTCCGTGAACTGCAAAATCGTATTACACTTTGTATTGTTAATGACGGAGGACATGTGGAAACTTAAATACAATTTCAATAAAACCTTAAAAAAATATAGATTTACTTCTTTCTAATCCTTTTTACAAATTATTTCTATCGTAAATACAAATAAAGTTATAATTCTTTTAAGTGCACACGAGCTTTTATGGACACCCTATATATATATATATATATATATATATATATATATATATATATATATATATATATATATATATATATATATATATATATATATATATATATATATATATATTATTATGATAAACTGGAAAAAATTTTTTGTGACGCGTTTCACCTGTTAAGATTTAATCGGACTGGGCTTTTGTTGACGTTGCTTCGTCTATACATGCGCACGAAACGAGATACGCAGGTAGTTTCGACATTTTTGAAAGAATATTTTTGAGAGAATATTTTTTTTCTCTTAATCTGCCCGAAATCATCTGTATTCTCTTTGTTTTTCTCTCCATGATTTGAGAAAAAATATATTCCCTCAAAAATATCCTTTCAAAAATTTTGAAACTATCAGCGTCTCTTGTTTCGTGCGCATGCGTAGACGTGGTAACGTCAATAAAGCCCAATCCGGCAAAATCCTAACGGATGCAAACGCGTCACAAAAGAACCTATCCAGTTTGACATATTTTTCTAAATACTGTTTGTTGATATATAAAATTATACAAAATTATACATCGTTATATCATATATTGCCTAATAAATAAAAGTGTGTTGGAGGTTTGTTTTTGTTTTCTATGTATATATATATATATATATAGGCAAATTAGTATTTAAACTATTTTGAATTTAGATTGATAAATGTGTTATATGTTTTGAATAAAATGAAGTTATGGATATAACCGTTTTCTTTTATTTTTTGTATATCTCTGATCATGTATCTTGGGTTGTAATCGTAGTAATTTTTCAGGAAAGGAGATACTGAGAAGAATCCGGGCGCAGATTCATATGCTGATAAAATTCGATATTGATACTATCAAGAATTTTCCTTGTAAGTTAATTTCTCTTTTTATAAGCGTGGCGTTCTTTATATCAAAGTTGTGGTTGAACTGATATATATATATATATATATATATATATATATATATATATATATATATATATATATATATATTGCTTATTTGAATAAAATTGTAATAGCTTTGACATTAATTTTGACTTAGTGAATGTAGTTTTAATTGAAAGAGAATGTAACTTATTAAGGCGAAAATGAATGGGGAGTAATATAATTAAGGAATCTTTCACGGTAAATTTACTACCAGCATCATACAACATATCGTCTTTCCTATTAAAACTGCTGCTATTACAATGTGGAATGAAAACAGAAGCGATAAATATAAAAAAAAAAATATCGACATAAAGCTGAATGAAGACGCCTGCTATAAAGCTGAATACATCGGACGTTAAAATATAAAAAAAAAATTAAGTTACGTGTCTCTGTATGTTCAGTGGTTCTCGATGTAAAATTGCAACTGATTTGCTAAATTTATCTTACCCCACCATACAATCGATATAAATAAATGCGAATGTCAGTGTGCCACACTTCTTCAACTTTCCCCCTAGAGGCCGTAGACCAACATATCATACCATTTTGGAATCAGGCCGACTCCGTGAGCAAATTAAAAACATTCCGGGTCGGATCCCTACCCGTAATCCTAAAATTTTGTATTCCCAAGTTTTCATTACTGCCATTGTTTTCGGCGATTTTTTACGTGACTTTTTTCAACTAATTTTTTTATACGCTAACATTTTTTTTTAATTTGGAAATAAATTTGAGAACAATCGAAATTAATTGCGAAATCCAGTGAAAGTCACACATGAAATAAAAATAATTGTTTGTACGGAAAGTAAGGACCTCCATACATCAAATTGTTTTATATTGAGTGTCGACAGAAGAATTATCGTTGAACCTTTACAAGGTAAGCTTAGATATTAATGCAATACTTAAATGCAATCGACATCCAGGAGAGCTTCCATTGCTGAGAATATGCAAGGAATTAGGGACACTCAAACTCCTGAATAAGCCGAAGGCCCAATTAAGTTTAGTTTAAATGATAGAACGACTTTTAATCCTAGAGCACTAACCATCAACTAATGTTACACCACTACTAACCATGGGTATATCATACCAGATTTTGAAAATATCAAAAAAATATGAAATATAAATCTTTATTTGAAATATTTTACATGCAGGCACTTCAAACTTTGTACTTTGAGTTAGCATTAATAGGAACTGAAAGAACATTATTTAGGTAAGAAAATCAGGTACTGAAATTGTAAAATAGAAAATTTGCATTATATACCCATGGTTATCTATATATTTATAAGAAATATATATATATATATATATATATATATATATATATATATATATATATATATATATATATATATATATATATATATATATATATATATATATATATATATATATATATATATATACATATATATATATATATATATATATATATATATATATATATATATATATATATATATATATATATATATATATATATATATATATATATATATATGAAAGACTCCATCGCTAAAAAGATTATTAGACTGAAAACGTTCTTCCGATGGGCAAAATTGTTACTGATTTCTTTCCATTTTGTTATTCAGCTACCCAAGCGCTTCTATCTTTCGCATTTTTTTTTTTTTTTTTTTTTCATATTAAAATTCTGTAATTCTCTAATGCGGAAATAGGATTCGTTGCGTTTTCCATTTTTCGCCTCCTGTCTTCACAAAATAAGGCGGGACGAATTTTTCCTTTAGCTTATAATCAAACATTTTTCTATAGAATTCTTCCATCGACATATAACCCATTTTAGTTGAACTTGTTTTCTATTTTTCTTTTTTTTTTTTTTTTTTTTTTTTTTTTTTTTCTCATAATGCTGTAGGTATTTTAAATAGTCCTTCAATTGTTTCTTCATTGCAAGTTTGGTACGTCATACCAAATTTCTGTTGGTGTCAGGCTTCTTATTGTTTCCTCCAACTTATTCTGCATCTAAGAATTCCTGGCAAGTGTTAGCTTTTACAGAAGACATCTATCATGTTTAATTTCACTTGAAGAAATGTTCACTTTTTCTACTTTTTCTATTTTTTTTTTTTTTCATAATTCTCCTCAATTTTTTTTTCTTTGTGCTTGCAATTAATTTCTTTCGCATAACTGTCAAA